ATTTTATGGAGAATTTTTTGATTTATCTAAATTACGTAGCGAATTGCAATATTTATATTCGTGTCCAGACTATATTGGCAAGTCATTCTTAGACATAAAAAATATTATAATTAATGACGATCTGAACAAAGATGCAATAAAAGAATTACATGATTTAATATCATTAATTTTTACGGTATCATCTGCAAGTGCATCTATTGAGTGCAGTTTTTCCACCATGAAGCGAATTGATACATTGGCAAGGAACATTCGGAGTCAAGGTCAGAGGAAAGATTGTTGTCATCGATAGCAAAAGAGCTTTTAAATACTTTGATGGAATCAACGACAACCGATTTTTATGATAAAGTACCGTAATTAACGACTTTGCGGAAAAAATTTCCGAATATAGTTTATAAAAAATAATAAAAACAATTCTTATTCTAATTTATTGTTTCGTGTCAATTATCTATTTTCGAATTAAATAAATAAACTGTTTATTTTTGTCATTTCCAGTATTTGTTTATCGTTTTTATGGAAGCAGAGCTTCCCTATGATCAAATGTCACCGCACGCTATTGGAGTGCATCTGTATTAGTTCCGAGGAAATTATATAACGGGTGTCACAAAGATAGATATTTATAAATAATATGACAAGTAAAATATTTTGAACAACTTTATTTTGTAAATTCAATTTCAAAATGCAAATTTCAAAAAAACAAAGAAAATAACAAAAGTAACAAATGTCATACTTGGATTTCTACCAAAACTTTTTGCTTAATTTATATAAACAAATACGCTTTTACATTTCATATATAATTGTAACGCCAGATATAGTTTTATATAAAAGTTAATTGGTAATGTACCAAAACTTTAATGCCATTGACAAGGCATTCAAGAACACATTTTTAAAAATAATAAAACGTGCATTTAAAGTTAACATTAATACAGTAAATTTGTATTTTTCTGTTATAAAGGTAAATGACAACATTTATAAAGATTAATTTATAATATAAAGATAAAATTAAATTTAATTATTAAAACCAATGGGATCGGTGGTAATATTAACACACTAAAAATAAAAAATTTTTAGTTAAAAAACAAGTAAAAATTATACTCTTTCTATTTCTGACTTCGAGGATTCTATGAGCCAAAACAAGACAAACAAATAGCAAGGAACAATCATTATTTTATTAATTTTATCCATATGCATTTCGCCATCTAGGCCTCCTCAGTGGATACATCAGGATGTTATTCGTTGGTTACGTTTTATACCCAACAGCCGTTCCCAGCATGCATCAACAATCATTCCAGCATTCAAATTAAGTAAATTTACATGTTCGGCGATACAGAAATGTTCTACAATTTTTCTTTCTAAGTTATTTTCTATTCTATACAAAATTTTAGTATTTTTTATATTTATATTACAATTAAATTTTCTGCAATGTAAAAACCATGCTGATTCCGTTCTTCTCAGTCTAATGGCTGCCTCATGTTCCTTTACTCTCAACTCCAATCTTCTTCCGGTTTCTCCAATGTAATAATTTGGGCTTCCACATGTACATG